GCGGGACTGGAACTCACAAACTGTGAGATCATGACCCAAGCTGAAGTCAGATGCTCAACCCATTGAGCCACCCAGGCACCCTTGTTTGTTTTCTCAATATTGAATTTTCAGAGTTCTTTATTCTGGAAACAGGCCCTTTATCAGATGTAGGCTTTGCAAACATTTTCCCCTAACTTAGGGTTTTTTATTCTCCAAACAATGCCATTCAAAGACCAGGAGCTTACATTATGATGAAGTCCAACTTGTCAACTTTCTTTTTTAGTGGGATGTGCTTCTGATGTGGTATCTAAGCAATGTGTGTCTACCCCAAGGTCACAGAGATTCCTCATGTATTCCTTGTGTATTCTCCTGAAAGTTGTGGTTTCAGGCTTGATCTCAGGACCCATTTCAATTAATTTTTGCACAGGGTGCAAGCTGTAGGTTGAAGTTCATTTGTCTCCCATATGGACATCCCATTGTTCCAGCACCATTTGTCGAACAGACGGTCCTCTGTCCACTAAATGGTCTTTGGACCTTTGTTGAAAATCAGCTGCCCATATATACGTAACCATTTCTGGACTCTGTTAGGCTCCATTGACGTGTTTATCAGTCGTTTGCCATTACCGCACTGACTTGGTTACTGGGCTTCCCTTGATTTTTAAAAACTCATTGATAAATAGTTCGTGTATACAGTTGAAAACTTCAAGAACTCTTTCCTCAATTTTTAACTCCCATTAATTTTTATTTCCAAAAGTTTTTTTCATAGTTTGTAAATGTTCCTGTTTTAGGATTGTAATATTTTCTCTTCCTGAGAGTAGTTTTTGTTTCATTTTGTTTGAAGGTTTTTCTGCTCCCTGTATTGTCTGAGACTTCCTCCTCACCCCCGCCCCCTCATTTCTGTCTCTGTGCCTTGTGTTAGAGGCATTCTCTAAATGGCTGAGGGTTCTGGCTGTGCATTCATGTTTAAGAGTGAAGCGGTAGAAAGCAGATTGAATGCTCTGTTATGTGTTGGCAGGTAAGCTCCCCTATATATATGGTGAGCTGGCAGGAACCGGGCTGTTTTGTTGAGGGTTCCCCAAATGTCAGTATTGCATGTCTTAAGGGCTCAGCTGTTTAATTTCTCCACAGGTGGGGGTCGGGGGCACAGGCCTGCCCGTCACAGTCCTGGGTGCCGAGTGAGCAAAACATCAGTCACGACATCTTGTTTCCAGCCCTCATCTGACCTTCACCCTTAGCTGTGCCCTGGTGGCCCCATCCAGAGCCCTGCTCTCTAGTTCATTTTCTGCAGAGTAAACCTGTCTCTCGCTGGATTGGGGGGGGGGGGTCCTGTTTGCAGGGGCTCAGGGTGGAGAGCTGATCTGGCTGCCTTTTCCATAGACTTTAAACCCATCCTCCTGTTGGATCCTCCTCTTGAGAAGTGTATGGTGCCTCCAATTCCTGCGTCTTTCCCAGGTTCTGAGGCACGAATGGAATCACTTTTGTTGGCTTCCTCTGACAGGTGCTTGGTTTCAGCTCACTCCACTCTGACGTCTGTTCCCATATGGCCACGTTTCCATGTCTACACTCTTCTTGTTATCTTGGGCACAACAGAGATAGACGCATCCTTTCAGGTTGTTGTATTTAATGGAAGAACATTTCTTACCCTCTCCCTCCCTCCTCCCCTCCCTCCCCCTGACCATCCATTCCTCACCCCTCCCTTTCTCCTCTCTTCCTTCCCTCTACCAGCCTCTTCTGCCTACCCCCGTAGCCCCTCCCCTTTGCCCTCTTTCTTCTTTTCCCCCCCCTCTTCCTTCTTCTTTGCCTGGAGCCTCCTATGCCAGAATTCTTCAGGGAGACAGCCAAGCATTGTATCCTCAAGAGAAAACAGCCCATGAAGTGCAGACAGCATCGGATGTGGAATTGGCAAACTGAAGTTTTCGACCTACAGATGCAATAAACCTGTCGTCCTCCTCGATGCTCCTTCCCATCCCTCAACTGCAAAAAACCTATAGAGACCGTATCGCAACCTGCCCCACACCCCGACCTTGGCCCTAGTGACCCGTATTGTGTCAGAGTTGCACGTTTACAAGGCGGTCCCATTTCTACCTACTCCACGCCCTTTCACCCCTTGCAGGCCCCTGAGCAGGTGTGAGTTCCTGGGTCTACTCCAGTTTCTGTCGAGTGAGGTGTCCTGGTTCTGGGGGTTTCAGATGTTAGGGCTGTGTGTGAGGGTCTTGCCTCATCAGGAGTGCTCAGAGCATCCTGTCCCCTCTACCTCCCCTTCCTAAAGGCTCAAACTGGGGTACAGAGTTGTCAGGAACTTGGCCTTATGCTCACTGTCCCGGGCTGTCGGCTGCATGGAAGCTGAGACCTTTCTCTTGTGTTGTCCTCCGCTGCCCCTGCTCTTACCCTGTATTATTATTTTTAAAACCAGAGGGTCACCCCCTTGGATCAACCAGGTGGGAAGGGGAGGGGCTCCCTCCATAGCCCCAGTCTTCCCTCACTGCCCACCTGAGCCTTTCTCCAGGGCCTCCCCCTGAAGAGGCTGCTACTGTGTCCAGCTGGCTCTTAGCTGGGGCTTTTGTCAAACACCGAAGAGTGACACCGAAGAGTGGGTAGTGGGTGGGGGGAATGTTTGCATTTTACAGATGAAGTAGCTGAGGGTCCCAGAGACCTCATGACTTGGCCAGTGTTGTCTCCCAGCTGGGAGAGGGGAACCCCATCTTGACCCCAGGCCACATGACTCCATATCCGGTAGTGTTCCTTCTCTACCCCCGGGGGCGAGTCCAGGCTGTTCTCTCTTGTTCTGCCTGGTAATTACCGGTTTTTGGCTGGAGGGGTTCCTTGGTCCAGGGCCCCATGGGAGGGAGGTAATTACATCCTTTGAGATGCCCTTCGTCAGCAGCTCCCCGTCAGTCCCTGTGACCAAGGCTTGTGCTGACCTTTGTCCCTTCCCCGTTCCCAGGCCAGTGGCTTAGAGTTTGATTGGATTCCTATTTCTTTCTCTTCGGTTGGTGCTTCTGGTTGCATCTGGCTAGGCCTTCCCTCGCGGAGTGCCCATAAATTGTTTATTCAGGCAGATGGGTGCCCTCGGCCCTGGAGCGGGGGGAGGGAGAGCTTGCAAATGATTCTCTACTGCCCCCCACCCCCAGCTATTAAGAAAAGTCATACCCACTGACCAGTGAGGTCCTAGCATGGGCCTTCTTGTAGGGAGAGTAGTCCTCTGTTGTGTACCTCTTTATTCACATGCACCCGTCTCCCCCCACTCACTCTCCACCCCCATGGCCCCTAATCTTGTCCACGCCGCCAGGATTTCATGCACACACACTCAGCTTAAACATCTCAGGGACTTGCTACGGCTTTTAGGAAAAAGGCAGAACCTTTTGTCATTGCTCCCAAGGCCCTGCAGAGTTAGCCTGCCTGCTCCCCTGCCTCATCTTATGCCCAGTCCTCTCCCTCTGTCCTCCCCAGTCGCTCTGGCCCTTCTCCTGTTCCCTCCCTTTACCATATTTTCCACCCTTTTCAGGGCCTTCGCACACGTTCATCCCCCTACTTGGAATGCCCTCCTCCCATGTCCCTTTGCCCAGTTAGTTCTTCCTTGTCCTTTAGACTTTCAGGCCAACCATCACCTCCTCAGAAATGCCCCCTCCAGCCCTTCAGCAAAGCAAGGTCCCCAGGGTCACATACTCTTATAGTTCCCTGTGCTTTTCCTTCAGAACACTCACATAGTTTGTCATCGTAGCTGTGTATGATTATTTGATTAATACTGGTCTTGTCCATTGGACTGGAAGCTCCACAGGAGCAGGGAGCACTCTGTGGTCTGTTTCACGGTGACCTCTTCTCCCTCACCGCCGTGTCTCTAGCGCCACACAATAGTAGGAGCTCATAAAAATATTTGTTAGATGAAGGATGGTGTGAATGGGATCGCCTCGCCTGCCTGCTACCAGAGGTCACCTTCAGGAGCCTTCTACCTCCCCACCTCACCCTTGTCTGACAGTGCATTCCTGGGCTCCCAGCTGTGCTGTCCGGTCGCCTTGCTCCACCTTTCTCGGCATCCAGATCACCTGGAGGTTTTATAAAGAGGAAGATTTGGATTTAGCAGGTTGGGGAAGCCTCTGAGATTCTTCCTTTTTAACAAACTTCTGTGGACCCGTGCTACTTGTCCAGGGGCCACACTTTGGCCTGGCCTGAGAGGTGGGGTCACCAGGTCACAGCTGCTCCGAGGCCAGGTCACCACAGAAAACCTTGTTTGAGCTGGGACAGGGTGCTGTTGTTAGTGGTGTTTGGCCCGGCCAGGCTGGGGACAGTTGCAGGACTGGGCCCGGTGTGGGGCTGCAGGCTCCGTTCCTGCTGAGCGTATGCACCACCCCTCAGGCCTGGGCTCTGAACTAGGAGAGCACTATGGACGGTGACACCCAGGTGACACCTCCCAACGGCCCTCAAACTGAAAGCGATTCCCGAGAAGTTGGCAGTTTAGAGTCTTGCAACTTAAAATTCCCTTTAATTTCTCTCTCTCCCTCCCTGCCCCATCACAAATGCCAACTAAAAGGGAGAGGGACTCTTCTTGCTTTCTGACATGTGGGGGATTTGCTGTGTGAGTGTTGGGAGGGGTTAGCCGTGGCCTAACTTGGTCACTTAACAGCATCCCTGTGGCTCATGCACGCATGGACCTAAAGAGCCCCAGTGATCTTGCTCAGCCCTGGCCCCGTCTGCACTCCTCGGTCTGGCCCGTGGGCCTTTGCAAGTGCCATTCCCTTCACATGGGGGGTTGAGGGCTGGAGGACTCATCCCGGGGCCTGGTGTAGTCAAGGTGCCCCCTGCCAAGCCAGGGAGGCCTCTGGCCTTCCTTGGTGGATGTCTGTGTTTCCCTCCTGGGATTGCTGCCAGCCCTGACAGAGACTCTCTGATCTCTGGCCCATGAGGCTCAGAGAGATGAGGGCAGAGGAGAGAGCCCTGAGGCTCTGCAGACCAATCTCGAACTCTGGGAGAAGGCACGCCCAATCCACTTCACTGTTGCTCTTCACCTTTCCCCATCCCGGCAGGTCCCTGGATGGCCGACTGCAGGTGTCCCATCGGAAGGGGCTCCCCCATGTCATCTACTGCCGCCTGTGGCGATGGCCTGACCTCCACAGCCACCACGAGCTGCGGGCCATGGAGCTATGCGAGTTCGCCTTCAACATGAAGAAGGACGAGGTCTGCGTGAATCCCTACCACTATCAGAGGGTAGAGACCCCAGGTAGGCACCGCCTCACCCTCTCCCTGGGTCTGCAGCGACCTGCGTGTCCTCTCCATCCCCTCCCTGCCTCGTCTCCCCTTTCCCTGTCCAGGTGGGGGGTGAGGAGGGTGTGGCACTTGGAGGGCTTTGGTGCCACCCTGGCCTTGACGCCAATCTGCCTCTGCTCTTCTGGACAGTTCTACCTCCTGTGCTGGTGCCACGCCACACAGAGATCCCGGCCGAGTTCCCCCCGCTGGACGACTACAGCCATTCCATCCCCGAGAACACTAACTTCCCCGCGGGCATCGAGCCCCAGAGCAATATTCCAGGTAGGCACAGGGGTGCGCAGGGGCACACAGGGGTGCCAGCAGTCCTCACGCCAGTCCCCCTGCAGCTCTCTTGGCTGTCCTGGGCCGCCCTGTCCCCCCTCCGCACACGGCGCTGGCCCGAGGGCCCCTGACTCAGAACCGCACACCCGTTGGGAGAGGACCCGTGGCCTTGGCTCCCCGCTCAGTAATGATGCTTTTCTTGGCACGGAGGAGCGGCGGCGTGACCCTTCCGCCCGGCCTCGGTGCCGTCATTTATTTTGGAAGCGGAAATAGCAATGCTGTGTTTCTCTCACCGCCCTCGCGACCGGGGCTGGAGTTTGGGCAGGATCCCCGACGGGCTGGGGGCCTGCAGAGCAGTGGGGGAGCCGAGGGCCAGGCAGCCGGTGCGGAGAATGGCCCTTCAGTAAGTAAGCCTGGTGGGGGTTTCAGCCTGGGTGGGGGCTGAGGCCCAAGCGGGAGTTTTGACTGACTGCACGGGGGAGAAGCCGGCTCAGCTGTCAGAGTGCAGATGTTTTTAGAAGCCCTTCATTTACATGCAAATAATGTGTGAATCACCAGCACGCAGGGCGTCCAGGAAAACTGCTTGGCTGAGCTTGGGCTGGTCACAGCGGCAGGAATCCTGCCTGCCTTTCAGAGCGCTCTGACTTGGACAAGCCTCTTACCCTGAGTGAGTTCACTGTGCTGAGGTTGACTGTAGGCCTGTGCATGGGGCAGAGCCTACGGAGAGACCCCTTTACAGGCCCAGCCTCTTCCAGGTCCTTCACAGGGGGTGCTGGCCCCTAGGGGTAGGTCACCGTGTTCACTGCGCAAACATTAGAGAGCTAAGTCACCGTCTGGGGTCATTCAGAGAAACAGATCATGGTCGCTGCTGCCATTGAACTTGAAGCCCACTGGGGCAGCCAAGATGTCCAACAGAGGAGTGACAATGAACAGGGTACCTGTACAGGAGTAGACTAGCGGAGCCAAAGGGCAGCATGAGGCAATTGCCCTTCAGAGGACAGAGGTGGGTGAGGCTCAGGCAAGTCCCCAGCCTCCCTGGAGGGGTGGGCTTACACTTGACCTTCTAGGGTGGGAAGAAGTTAGCCTGGCAGCGGCTCTAGGAACAGCTGTTTCGGTCTTAGGCGTCAGGATGGCATGAACAAAGGTGGTCACAATCCAGCCGAGGAGACGGGGGTCGAAGGGCATGAGGCCAGCTGGATTGAGGAGCTGGTGCCCTTGCTCAGAGGCCCGCAGCGCCTCCAGCACCTGCTCCTGGCAGAGTGGTGTGGACGTGTGACGGGTTTGCAGCAGGTGTCTCCGAGCTGAACCGTGCAGGCCCCTTAATGAACCACCTTCCTTCTGATTCCCAGAAACCCCACCCCCTGGCTACCTGAGTGAAGATGGAGAGACCAGTGACCACCAGATGAACCACAGCATGGATGCAGGTCAGAGTCTTGATCCTCGCTGAGTGCCTGCCCTCCCCCTGTCCCTCTACCCGGCATTTATGAAGCAACAACTAGGTGCCAGATGCCGTCCCAGGCACTGGGGAGAGAGGAGCCTGGGCTGCTCAGTTTGTGAGGACGACGACCAGCAGTCACTGTGCCGTCTCATATATGCCCTGATGGAGGACGCCATGTGGCAGTGGGCACAGGGGAGGGCCACCTACCCCAGCCTGGGGAGGAGGTGTTGGGAGCAGAACAGTACCTCACAGGGTAGGTTTTTCTTCAGTCAAGTCTTGGGGATGGGTAGGTGTTGACCAGGCCGTCAGGCAGAGAGGATATGCTAGGTAGGGGCATGGGCATGGGCAGGATAGCCTGGTGCGTTCTGGTGACAGTGAGAGCTCTGTGTGGCTGGGGAGTGGGGAGAGACAGGAGGAGTGTCCCTCAAGGTTTCACTGTGGCCAAGAGCCACTGCAGGCTTTAAGCAGAATCTCTGCCTTGGTGAGAGCTTGGCAGCGGGGTGATGGGTGGGCTTGATCACCTGACACAGCTCAGGAGGAAAGGCTGAATGGAGGCGGTCAGGGTCTCTGCCAGTGGAGGCCCCCGAAACGTCTATTTTTGTGTAGTGACCAAACGTCATCTATGTATTCCCGCCGCGAGGGACCCAGCCCAGTTGTCTCCAGCCACGTCTCCAGATGTTCCCGCATCATTTGTTACGGGACCAAATTGGCTCCAAACCGGTGGCTCCTTGAATGGAACCCCAGCTGCCACATAAGAATGTGTGCGGCGCTGTGCGTGGTTGGGTGAGGAGGAGGAGGGGGCCGAGCAGATGCTCCGTCCCGAAGATCGCAGGCATGCCTCGTCCACACGGAGCCCGCCCGCCCTTGCACACGGCCCAAAAGAGAGTGTGCGGGTCCTGAAAGAGGCACACGAGGGAGACTTGCATGTTCGTTGTAAGCGTGGCTGCTTGATACCCGGCGTGGGCGTCGCGGCGCTTTGGGGTGTGGCACACACCCCCGGGAGTGGCTGACGGCGCGCCCCGGGCTGCGGTGTGTCACAGGCCTTCCCGCACTCCATGCCAAGTGACGGCTGCAAGCCTGCAGCTCTGGGATGTGGCACGGGAAGCAGGCCAGCTAAGCAGCATCTTTCCAGATGCTACGCTGCTTCTAACTCCTTTTCTCTTCCCTCCCTGCTCTTCTTTCTGTGTGTAGAATGATTAGCACTGTCAAAGCAGGGCCAAAGGAGAGGGTCCGAGCGCAGAACGAGCAGCCAGCCACCCTTCCACCACCCTCAGCACGCGCTTCTTCCCCCCTCCCTGCCTTCCTTTCTGTCCCACCCTCTCTGTCATCTCTTCTTTCTTCCTCTCCTCCTGTCAGTGTACCTGCAGGGCCCTGCTGTGGACGTCCGTGATGTGTCAAAAGTAGACGTTGGGCTCTGTGGACCCCCAGTCTCTTGGGGGGGGGGTGTCTTCTTCTGCTCCTCGGCTTTTCACTCAAAGTTGTCCATTTGGAAACAAGTCCAGCTGCTTCTCTGCCAGCTGAGATGTGATAGTGTCTCAGTTGGGGTCCGAGGATCCCCTTGTCCGGCCCTGGGTCTCCCCTAACACACATGCGTGCCCTTCCAGACCAGTGAGATGGTCCCACAGCCTTCCTGGGCCTTCTTGATTTGGGCTGCCACAAAACAGGAAACCAGCATTTATTGAGTGCCTGCTGTGTACCAGTCATGGTGCAGCCATTTGTCTATGCATGATCACGCTTCATTTCTACAAATCACACAATAGGTGGCATTATCCCCATTTTACACCTGAAGGGAAATAAAAATCAAGGCTCGAGGAGGTTAGACCACTTTGCTGAAATCCCATCGCTGATACGCTGGTGACACGCCTGGACTCTGTGGCCAGGTTGGAAGCTGTCTTCCACGACTCTTCCACATCCCCTGATGTGCTGGGTTCTGGGGGAGGAAGAGAAGCCTATGGCTCATCCCTCACCCTCAAGGAGGTTACAGCTGAGTTGGGGAGCAGGAACAGACCCTCATAAACAAGGCATATGCGCCCATCCTTCAGGGCTGTTACTACAGAAATAGCTGCAGCCCTCTTGGGTCCAGGGACAAAGGGATGAGCCAACTTGCTCTGTGGAACGGCACTGTTTGGTTTTTTTTCTTTTTTTGAAAGCAGATGCCATGTGGTTTTCTTTTTCTCCTGAGAGGGAGGGCTGGAGAGAAGGTAGCCGGGCAGGAAGAATTGGGTAGGTTTGGACACATCCCCATGAGCAGCCTCATGTATTGCCTCAAACATCAGTCTGGTTGCAGAGTTGTAGGGTTTATGAGGCAGCTGGGTGAGTTTCCTGAGACCTGGGGAAAGGGCTAGATTGGTATTTGAAGGGGCCTTCTGGGGAGCTGTGGCCCTACCTGTGTGGGAGGGGAGGCCTTCATTGCCTGGGCCTTCCCTGTCCACCTTGTTTTCCTGGGGCCATAGCTTCCAGGGAGCTCTGTGCCCTGTGCTGTGGGTTTGGTCCGGATCCTCACACCATCAAGTTGTGGGAGAGACCTCTGAGGTTAGCCGCTCATCTGTTTGTTCCACAGGTGAAGACTGGGGCCCAGGGAGAGAAAGCAGGGCAGGGACACGGTATCAGACCTCCTCCTGGGCTTTGGAGGCTCAGCCCAGGGTTTTCTGCCTGCTGTGTTGAGCTGCCCCATCTTGATGCACGTGTTCAGTAATTTGGTGCTCTAAGCCAAGAATGTTCTGTTCGTTCTCACGACTCTGTCTCACCTCACAGGTTCTCCAAACCTATCCCCGAATCCGATGTCCCCAGCGCACAACAATTTGGGTAAGTATCTCTTCATCCGTAGGACTGTAACCCCCTCTAGCTGCAACCCTGGCTGGTGGCCGGTGGGGGGATGAGGCCCTGAAGGTGAGGCTCTCCCCGCCCCTCACCATCAGCTCAGCCCAGCCCATCAGGTTTCTGGTTACAGTGATTCTGGGGTCACCCACAGAATGGGGAAACCCGAGAAGAGCGGTGGCAGGAAAAGCAATGTACCGGGTTTGTATGTCCCCTGGGTGGCAGTCAGACGTGAGTGAATGAAAATCCCCCAAACCTTGTGCTCAGGAGATGAGACTCTGTGGTCAGCCAAGCATATGTGTGTGGTTTGACACAAAGCCACGGGCGAGCAGTGCAGACTCCGGCCCTGACTTCTGCCGGTTTGTTGCACGATACACTTCTTTGGATTTTATCTGAGTATTTCATCTAATCATCATGTACTTTTAATTTAAAACAGCAAGATACAAGGGAATTGGGGGGGGGGAGGGAAGCAAAATTGCCCATAATTCCCCACCCACGCACACGGGTGTTCTTTTGTCACGGTCCTCCTGATGTTTGTGGATCAGGCATATATATTTGTGCCTTGCCAATGGAGACTACAGTGTCCATCCGTGTTTCTCATTCTTCTCCTTGTTGTTTTGTAAGTGCATTTCCATATTTAGATGCCTCCTTTATCATCTCGCATTGTGTCATGATGTTTTAGAGCAGCTGGCCCATCATTTCCATGACCATCCCTCAGTTGTTGGATCTCTGGGCGGGTTGTTCTGAGATTCGCTTCTCTACTCCAGGAACGCGCTTGGGCTCCAGCGTGGGGCCCGCTGAAGTGCTGCGAACAATTGAAATATCCATTTCGTTTTTATTGAGGGGAATTTTTTATGTGCTGGTCTGGTTGTCTTAGAAAAATGTGAGTTTGATTTTGTTTTGGCCTTTACTGCTGGGGTTCAATTTGTGGCTCAGGAAGAGAAAGCGTTAATATCCAAGCTTGGCGAATCAGAGGGGGTTGGCCTGGCTTTTGTTCCCAGTTGCTTCCAGTCCCTGACAAATAGCATCAGATGAAGAAAATCATTTGGAATGTTGGGAGATGCCTGAAAACCCTTTAATACAGGCTGACAAGTGGGCAGTGTGAGATGTGACTTCGGGGGAATCTGTTTTAACATCTTTGTAAGATAATATCACTGTGAGTCTTGGGCTGTGCAGAGGGAAGGTCAAATTCCTGATGTGAGAGGACCAATTGAGTTATTAAAAACAAACTCTGAAGGCTAGAAGCTGTGTTAACACTTGAAAAATTAAAGGCCAGGACTGTGAACTTGACTCTGGGTTTCCAGCTTTTGAGGCTGGCTGGTTTAGATTTAATTTCTGAGCTGTTTTCCCAACCGTGGCCAAGGCAGCACCATAGGTCGACAGACTCTGGGGCAGGCCTTTGCCTTTGAAGCCACACTGCCTGACTCCATGGTTCAGAATGAAAGTTGGCCCAAGTGGTAGCTTGCTGTGAATTCCTTTCTAGATTGTGTGAACCAGGATGACAGGATGGTTTTTGATCTTGGACTTGAGGCAAAGGTGTCCCGTTGACCCAATTCTTCCTCCCTGCTGTGTCCCCTTCCTCAGGCCCCTTGTCTGAGGGTTGAGGATTCTTAGGTCATTTCTTCCAAAGGAAGGAACAGCCCTCAAGCCTGGCGGGCAGAGAGTGGGTGCCGGTCTGCTGGGAGCACCTGAGTGGGGCAACAAGTCAGCTGACGAGTCAGGATTAGGACTCACGCTGAGACACCAGTGTTTCTCCTCTACTTGCCCAGGCCCCTGGTACCTGCCTCTCACCCCCACCTTCACCCATTCAAAACTGCTGGCTTCATCCTGGCCCCCAAAATCTTACAGGCTCCTGGCATCCTAGCTGGAAGGAGACAGATGATGGTGATGATGATGGCAAACATTTCTTGAGAACTTACTATTTACTGACTATTGTGTAGAGTGTTTCCTGCCTGTGAACTCAGTCTTCATAACAAGTGTGTAAGGTAGCAGCGTTGGAATTTTTCGCTTTCCCGACTAGGAAGCCAAGAAACAGACTGGTTACCTAACTCATGCCGAGTCCCACAGTTAGTAGACGGAGAGGCTTTGAACTCAGACCTTCGGGCCCCAGAGCATGTGCGCTCATCTGTGGCAGGACCCGCTCCCCTATCACCATGTCCTGCTCAGAAGAATGAAGCTTCGGAAGGGTACTTGTTAACTTGTAGTTGAGGGCACTTGTCAGGTTGAGGACCTCCAAGTAGGAGCCCTGCCTGCCTGCCTGTCTCTTTCTTCCTCGTTGATTCCCCAGGCACTTCCTACCGGTCATCTGAGTACCAGTCCACGTGGGGGGATTTGAAGAGGAATCATAGGTCCTGCCATCAAGATGCTTATGGCCTTGTGGGGATAAATAAGGCAGGCATCAGTGTAATTCTAAAACAAGTAGGTGCAGACTGAGGGTTCAAAGGAGGCATTGATGGCATTCCAGTGGGGACATGCCTCCAGGCTTGCCAGCATCCGCTGTGTAATTAATTCCTGCAAGCAGCTTTTCTGAGTTCCTAGCAAGTCCAGATGCTGGGGGTCTGGAGCTGGGGAGGACACGTGGGCACACACGGTCTGATGGAGTGGCTGGAAGGGTCTACGTCCACCTGAGATGCAGTGTGCCCGGTGCCAAGAGAGCAGGCACAGGAGAGGAACTGCATGTAGGCCAACGAGGAAAGTGCTGGATGGGGTAGGACTTTAGAGTTGCGGTTGTGTGTGAGTGGGACCTGGAAGGACAGGTGGGATACTGTGAGGATGAGAAGGAGGGAAGAACATTGCAGATAGAGGGAAGGGCATGAAAGGGCAGGGAGAGCTCAGAGGATGGCTGGTGTTGTGGTTGGTTGGGATGAGGGGGGCAGATGAGGCTGAGAAGACTCCTGGGGGCACTGAGAAAAGAGCCCTGAATGCCACACTTATTGACTCCCTTCTTGCCTGCAGAATGAAGGCTTTGGGGGAAGAGTGGTTGGTTACCTGATGGCTGTTTCAAAAAGATTAATCTGGCCACTGTATGGAATTTAAAGTCTAAGGGAAATGGCTGGTGTCCAAAGGGGGGGGAAAAAAAACCCAAAACTAAAAACAAAACAAAATGAAAAACCACCCCTTAGGAAGCTGTTAAACCAAAGGAGGCTGCCATGAACCCTTGGGAGAAATGGTGGTGGGGCTAGGAGGGGCGTTGAGAGGGAGCCATGGGCCTGAATGAGCAGGTGCTTATCAACTAGCTTTAACTGGCAAGAGACCGGATACCTAGGAGATGGGATGGGCTTGGGCTGGAAGAGGACAGTGAGTTTGCTTATGCTTAACTGTGTCCAGGAGGCAGCTGGGCAGTCAGGAGAGAGGTCGGGGCCGGACGTGCAGATTTGGAAGCCATTAGCCTGTGTGAGAGCCCTTTGCAAAGCAGAGTTGGAGAGGCAGGGTTTGTCATCACAAGAGTTTGGAAAGCCTGCGCTGTAGACCCCTCGGGCCTCCGGGGCGCCCACATGGTAAGGCCTCTGAGCAGTCCTGCAGAAAGGAGGCCTGTCGGGTTGAACATTTTGCCCACGGATCCAACCGCTGTCAGAACTCTGCTCTTCTGACCTGTCGGCCATCTCTGTAGGATGGCCCCCTGGAAACACTGGCAAAGGTTCGGCTGAAGTCCTGGCAGTGGATGCACCAGGAGAGGGAAAGCCAACTCAAGAAGGAAAGAAGGCCAGGGAGGGGTTGAGGGGGAGCCCCCAGGAGGGAGGAGGGAGGGGAAGAGGCTGAGGTTCACGTTGGAGGGCTGGGCCCAGCCAGGAGGCCAACGGGCGGGCCGTAAGGAGAGGCCTTGAAGTGACACACAGAGTTAAGAGGAGTATGT